GAGAGAGAGAGAGAGAGAGAGAGAGACTGGGCTCTGCTTGTGCACTCGGTCACATGAGCCACCCGTTGTGTTCGCCAGTCTCATCATCAACACTACCTGATTGTGAGGAACAATTAACACGCCTACGGTAATGAAAATGCAGATTTGAGAATGTGGTCACCCAACGCCTGGACAGCACAAGTGTATGCAAGCAAAGCCAAAAGGCACTTTAACCTGGATGTTCAAATAGGGCATGGGTCGTCTTAATCAGCCTTTCTCAAACGTTTTCAAGACCCTCGGCCCTCGGCCCGTTGAATACTTAGACCTACATGAATAAGCCAGAATACATACAGAACTCAAACTGCCAAATTAACATTGATGTCAAAGGGAAGTGTCAGTTTTCAATCAGGGGTTGTGAGTGATGTGACATGTGGTCTGTTGACTGCAAGTCCCGTGGTCTGATGGGTCAATGAGTATCTGGTGCACATATCAATAAACGTGAAGTATCCATAATATAGGAGCATTGTAATGTTAGTTATCATGTTGGTATTCGTGGTTTTTGGTCATTGTTTAGTCAATAATCGTAAAATGATTTGTCATTATGGGGAGACATCGCTGTGTTTGAAACTGCTACAGCGTTTCTCATGCGAGCCGTGGCAAAACAACGTTTTCATTAGCCTAGGTTACGGTATATTTACATTGATTTAGGATTTTACAGTACTACAACTCTCTTGAGTCCTCTCAATATGGCGGCCTATCGTCAACAAAAAAGCCCATGATGCATTCTGTTGTACAAGCCCTATATAACTAGTAGCCACTTCTCCACATGCCGGTGCCGGGCCCCGACCCCCCGACCCCGACCCATGGTTTGAGAAACGCTGTTCCATCCGTCTCTCTCATCCTCTTCATGCAAGCGTTTCGTTCAGACTATGCGCGGCAGCTCGTAAATGCCACAAAAATAATCCTGTCCTTGTCCACCTTGTTCAGAAACAACATAGCGTAACGTCATGAGGTAAGAACTTTTACATCACTACATGAGTCAATACATTTTAGCACTCTGCGAATACTAAAACACAGATAGGTATAGGTAAGAGAGGGTACACCACCTTCCACTCTGGACTTACCGTTCACAGCGTTGTAGTCCGCTCCATGGATATATCCGTCTCTGGCGGCAGGCGGCCAAGGTAGAGGTTTAAATCCCGTCCTTAGCCACTGCTGCAAATGGCTCCCTGCAGCAACGCTGCGCCTGCCATGCAACAGACACTGGTAACTGCAGCCGCCAGCCCATTGCTGTATGTATGCCTTTAATACACAAACGCACACACTCAGACACATGCATGCACAGGCTTGCATGGGCATAAACACAGTGCAGTGCAGAGTGGTGTGGTGGGCACTGCTTTGGACTGGTAGACTTGCCACTTTCACTACGTATACACACACACACACACACACACACACTTGTCCATAACAGTATAGCCGGAACAAAAGTGTGAGTGTGTGTATGTGTGTGTATGTGTGTGTGTGTGTGTGTGTGTGTGTGGGTGGGGCGGTCATAGAGTCCTCCCACATGCCACTTAACTGAAAGACACACACACACACACACACTAATCTTATGGGTGTCAGGGAACGCAGACTGCAAACTAATAAGCTTAAGTCAAGAAGGATCAGAGAGCAGGAGAGTGCCAGACAGAGAGAGAGAGAGAAATTGAGAGAGACAGACAGATAGACAGACAGACAGACAGAGAGAGACGTGCTGCTGATGACGGGTGAAAACGTCACCACGTTTGTCACAACGAAACACGCATGGTGGTGAATCAACAAAACACTCAAGGCACATTCTCCATCTTGTTACAAATAAAAACTAAAGTCAGTTTCAACGGTAGCCGACAGTTAAAAGACTTTATTTCATTTGTTCATTACCGGTGAGGATGCTTAGTCGAGTAGCCGGTTTTTACAGACCTGAATTGATTCACACATGGCTTGGCTTGGCTGGGGATGACCCCCGGGTCAAAGGTCACAGAGGGATGAACTCTAGGCCTGACCCCACCCGGCAACTCTGAGAAGAGCTTCACAGATTGTGAGCCAGAGGACTGCAAAAGATTATGTATATAGACAGCCGCACAGAACCAAGATGGAACCAAGATGGCCACCAGGTCAGTAAGTAAGGAATAAACCACTATAATGTTATTTATAATGTTATTTTCCGATAACGGGACAGTTTGACAATTCATTAAGCACTGCAACACAGGATCATGAAATGTAAATGTAAATCATGAAATGTAAATGTAAATTAATTAAATAGTGAAATGATTATATATGGGGGGTTTTTTACATAAAATTAATCGGTATTTTAATGAATTAATGACACATTTAAGTATTTAATTCCAATTTTAATTAATTAATGACACATTTAAGTAATTATTTAATGGTGTATTTATGTATTTAATTTTGGCACTTTTAGTCCTCCATAGAATATAAGACTAGTCTAGACTTTTAAATGTCAATAAATTCACAACCACAGATGGCGCTGTTCTACAATTAGACTTCACTTCAATGGTTAATGCAGTTATTTAAATGTTGATAGGCTACATGATTGTTTTTTCACTATGAGATGGATAGGTATTAGAAATACCAATAGAATGGCTGCCCCCGACTAAATATGTTCTTAGTCTCTTAGTCGCCATTTCAAGCCGATAGTCGACTAATCGTCGCACTTTTAACGTAATTATTTCGATTTATTTTTTGGGGCATCAGAAAGTGTTCCAGGGCGAGAGTGTTATAACAGAAACACTGTTAACATTGTGCTACTTCACAGATAATACAACACAGTAATAATCAGCCTTTAAAATATAAGTTTTACAAGCACACGCACGAAGCGGGCCGCCTATTAACGGCATGGACCAAGCGGTTCTAACCCTAACACTTTTAATAATCGTATTTAACTGTAGGCTATAACTGCACACAACTTTACTTAAAAGCAAGCAAATGGAAAACATGTTTGTTGGTATTTCCGTGTGAATGTACCTTCGGGGGAGCGGTTCATGTTAATCGCGGTGTCCGGGGGGGTTCACCTTAGCGGGCGTAGTTACGAGGGAGTGCGACTATCGTCTTGTCTTAAAAAATACAAACGTGTTGTTTAAAGTTAAGATATTAGATATTCAACAGATATTCACGCTCCGAATTACAGCGATCAGACACGGGAAATAAAGACGCGATCACCGGAATTAATCACGCGTGTCTACCGGTGTCTACCTACCTGGGTGTATACCTGCCCATAGGTGTATACCTGCCCAGGTAGGCGGGTCAGTATTTCTGCAGCGATGAGTTAAATCAGGGATTGTTGCGACCACGGATGTATTGGGTTGCGATGCTCATGCCGTGTTATTTTTATGTTTTACTTTTTGCTCGACTAATGAAAACTTATGCGACTAAGCCTGTCGATCGACTAAAAGGGTTGGTCGACTAGGGGCAGCCCAATAGGCCTACTAGCCTACAGTTTATTTTCATTTTCATTGTATTTAAATACCATAAGTCGTTCATTTACAAATGTGATTACATTTAATTGTATTTAATTGTATTTAAATGTGACAAGTTCATCTAAAATATAATAAAAACATGATTTTATTTAAAAGATGTAAAAAAAAAACTTTTTTCTATATAAAAACAAGGTTTGGTCTTCAAAAACTATTTTTCCAAAAATGAGTCTTGAAAAAGGGGGGGGGGGGGGTCATCTTATAATCAGGGTCGTCTTATATTATAAGGTCCAATAAGGTAAGTTACTTTCATCTATAATATCATTGGGTTTTGATCGACTTAATCAGCTGAAGTTAAAAAGTTAAAAAAATGTTTTTGCAAAATATCTGGTCAATTGTTTTTAATGTTGGACTTATAGCAAATTGATTTGCAACTGTTAAAAGGCAGAAGTGTCCCGCTATAAAAAAAACAAAACAGGATCAAGTATTTAACAATGCAAGGTCACATAATCCTTCCTCAAATTGACAGGGGGCTTTACAGCGGGGTGTGAGCCTCATGATAATCCATTATTGTGACACAACAGAGGATTGGCTTGTATTGAAGAGTGCCAATCCTTCACCGCCAACAAGACAATGACAATAACTTTGTGAAATTCACTACAGTGGACAATTAAAAAAGAAGAATATTGTGGACACATGGGTTATGGAGTATGGTATTATTATGTATAATTAATGAATTCCTATTTTCAACAACAATGACATTCAACAGACAACATAAAACAACACATTTCTCTTGTTCGGTATTCACAGCAGCATCCGGCAGGTTCTTCAGGTTTTTCAGTTGTTTTGCTGAAAAAAGAAGCGGAGCAGGTTAAACACAAAGGCATACAAAAAAATAGAGCAGAGGTCAAAAGGTGAACATGGATCCCGTCTCACCAGCAGCGCTCGTCCCTTCGTCTCTATGGGCAACAGTAGGTTGCCGAGGGCGCAGACAACACAGGCCACGGCAAATGGGCACATGGCGTACAGAACCGAATGCGACATCAACACCTAATGGGACACATTAACCGCATTAAAGCAACCGCCTGCCACATCGTGCCTAATGGCGGGGTAGTGGGAGCGCGTTTTTAAAGAATGAAGTTTAACTTTCCCATAAAATCTACGGAATTTGATTTTGTGTCATTACCTGCCACCGATGACGCGAGTAGCCTATTTGACTACAAATTATTTTTTCCATTAAAAAAAAAAAATAAATACAAAAAACAGAACACAAAACAACCATGCCGTACCTGGGCTATGAAGGGAGCGATCATGCCGCCGATGCGGCTGAAGGAGGTGCAGTAACCCATCCCCAGAGAGCGTGCTATGGTGGGATACACCTACACCGCAAACATCATCACATGCTGTTACATTAACACAGCAAAACACACACACACACACACACACACACACACGCACATCCAAAAACAAACACCAGCGCCTGTAACTGCTAACGGTAACTGTAAATACTACTTACACGCTATTTGCAATTTTAATATTTTGTTAGGATGCCAACAGCTGGGGATTGAACCCAGAACCTTTCGACGTGGAGTCAAACACCCTAACCCACACTATACTGGCCTGCCCCTAAACGTACAAAATAAATGGCGTCATTGTCGTTGTGTTTGTACCTCGGCGGTGTAAATATAGACCACGTTAAAGTTCATGGACACCAGAGACCTGAGCAGGAAGAGCAGCACCGTGAAGCCAAACCTGGGACGGGAAATGAACACAGAGAACGGTTAAACCGGTTAAAGCCTGACAGACGGCCATTAGAGTGACAATTGAGAATCTTCAGTAATACGATCCACCGCTCAGTCAGGGACTCCGAAGGAAAGGTGAGTGTGGGGGCCGGTTCAGGGGCCGGTATATAGGTCTTACATGGTGGAACAGATGTTGACCAGGAGGAAGAACATGGCGGAGAGGAGCTGCAGCACCAACATACTGTACTTCCTGCCCAGGACATTCAGCAGACATATGTTGAGGGGGATGACTGATGGGCGAGAGAGAGAGAGAGAGAGAGATTAAAATGTGTGAATTTGTGAGAAATGACCCCCCCCCCCCCCACATACAAACACACTTGCACAAACACACCCTGATGCAGGGGTGTGTGTGTGTGTGTGTGTGAGTATGCGTGCGTGCGTGTGTGTGTGTGTGTGTGTGTGTGTGTGTGTGTGTGTGTGTGTGTGTGTGTGTGTGTGTGTGTGTGTGTGTGTGTGTGTGTGTGTGTGTGTGTGTGTGTGTGTGCGTGTGCGTGTGCGCGTGTGTGACACTCACGCCCGACCTCGCCCAGGCAGCTGATGAGGAGGGTCTCGTAGTCGCTGGTGGCGAAGGGGATGCAGTAGCAGATGCTGCCCTCCTCGTGGCGATGCTTCACCTGGTGCTCCCGGTCGGCGTCCGTCACGCACAGCAGGTTCTTCTCCAGCAGCTCGGAGCTGCTCAGCACCGAGCCGTAGTAGGAGAACGACGCCACGAACCTGGGGTGGGGGGGGGGTGGGGGGGGGGCAGGGAAAAATCAGTGAGGTCAGGATACGATGTTACCGCCGTGGCACGTGACAATGGCCGTAAGCAAAGTTAAGTAACGTTTATTTAGTAGAGCACCTTTCACGGAGCAAGGTCACAAAGGGCTTCAAAAGAGAGTAAATTGTTTTTAAAAAAGACCATAAAACAGTACAAAGAAACAATTGACAAAACATGAGCAACAACAGACCGTAAAAACACACAAAATTACAAACACTAGGAACCTCGAGGCAAGACAAAGGCCACTTTGAATAAATTAGTCTTCAGCCGTTTCTCCTTTTAAGGCGTCAACAGAGACCAGAAGAAGCAGGTTTATACACACACACACACACTGTATAATTAAGATTTACTATGGAACATGTCATACATATGACATACATTTGACCTATTTATATATACACAATACGCAATACGCTTTACTTATTTAAGCAAACTGGACAGTAAACTGTCCAAAGTGCTTAATATATACATAACTATTATATTGACCTACTTTTACATTTGAAAACCATAATATAGTTTCGCTGCTGAGGGTTGGTGTGGGTAGACGGGTGGAGGTGGAAGCAGAGCTAGAAGTGGAGCCCATATTGTAGCCTACATATTGATCCGCACGTTCCTTGAAGATCATATTGATCTGCACTTTCCTTGCCCTCAACGCCGCCACTGGGGTTTTTACTCAGACTTAGGAAGCAGACCGCATTACTCCACACACAGCGCTAACATCACTGCGGCGGCTTCATGTTCGCCAGAGAATTGAGTTCAAAATATCACTAGTAGTTTATAAAGCACTAATTGGGTTAGGGACCAAAATACATCTCTGATCTGCTTGAGTGTTATGAGCCCCCACTAGAGCTCCCAGGTGATCAGGAGGGGCCGCCCTGCTCACTGTTCCCAGCAGGCACGTGCAGAGGGGGGGCTATGGGTGCCCGAGCCCCTGCCCCTTTCCCTCTGAAGGACCAAAGTGCCCTTTTGAGTGGTCATTTAAATTTCCGTTATCGGCCCCGCGTCAATAATCGCGCCCCCCCCCCCCCCCCCCCGCTCAACAATCGTGCAATATAAAGCCTCTCCCGTTTTCGACTTTGAGCCCCTGCCCCTCAAAGGGTCTCTGCACGGCCCTGGTTCCCAGGGTTCGAACCCGGCAGCTTTCAGTTGTTATGCACCACAGCTCTGCAACGACCAGCCACAACATGTGACTTTATTCTTTAAATCTGTGCCACAGCTTTTAAAATGAAGAAATACATTTACTCTCATACCATCTTATATTCATTTATTTATTTAGCATTTCGGTAATGCTTTATATTAAGGTCCTTGTAATAACCATTAATTAATAGGTAATAAGGCCCTTGTAAGTCCTTACAAGATGCTTATTAACATTATTGTGTGTTTATAAGCCTATATAAGTGTTAATAATGCCATTATAATACAGTTAATAGCAGGCTATAACACATTTATAAGCGCTTATAAGAAACTTGTTAACAGTTTGCAAATGCAAATTTTAATATCAATAAGCAAACAAAAAAAGATGAATAAAGGCATTGCAAAGTCGTAATGGGTGGGTTATGGGTGTTTGTAATGCTATTATGAACAATTATAAGATACTCATGAGGCTTTTATTAATGTTCTTAAGCATTTGCAAACTGTTAACAAGTTTCTTATAAGCGCTTATAAATGTGTTATAGCCTGCTATTAACTGTATTATAATGGCATTATTAACACTTATATAGGCTTATAAACACACAATAATGTTAATAAGCATCTTGTAAGGACTTACAAGGGCCTTATTACCTATTAATTAATGGTTATTACAAGGACCTTAATATAAAGCGTTACCAGCATTTCTTGTATTTTACATATCTCCTTTTTTATTATCTTTCAATGATTTTCCTTTTAATGTTTCGTGATCCCTTCCTTTGTAATGCAGTGCTATAACCTTGTGTTTGAATGGTGCTGTATTAATAAAGCTGCCTTGCCCTTCCCTATAAAAGTATTTAATGCGAGTACTTTTAGTGTAATATTTTACTATTCAAAAGGGGGCAGGAAGGTCTACTAGTGGTTAAGGTGTTTGACTCCCAGATGAAAGGTTCTGCCCTAACCCCCTACCTGCTCCATTATGACATTATTATATCGAGAAACAAAAATCGATTTGAATAAAGTTGTTGTTGTTGAAAACTTACTCAAATAGTAAAATAGTAACACTCTTTGGTCATTTAGTAGCAGGACTTTCATTGTGATGGTGGGGGGTGGAGTCGAAAACGCTAACCACTACATACATTGTCATATCTAAATTGAAAACTGAAGCTAAGCTAAGATAAACTAAGATAAACTAAGCTATAGATAAGCTAAGCTAAGATAAGACAAGATAAAGAAAAAATAAGATAGACTTTATTGTCCCAAAAATAAAATTGGCTTGGACACAGTATCTGCTGTTAAAATACCAATAACATATTGCATATGCATACACAGGCTGAGCAGCCTGTGAGCAGGAGAGAAGGAGAGGAGTGAAGGAGATGAGTGAAGGAGATGAGGCTTTACCAGGTGTACCACAGCAGCACAGTCGTCCTTCTGAAGGTAGGACTCAAGAGGATACGCCAGCTGCCCCGCTCCTTCTGCACACGCGCACGCGAACACACACACACACACACACACACACACACACACACACACACACACACACACACACACACACACACACACACACACACACACACACACACACACACACACACACACCAATCTTTACTATCACGAGTGCCAACAATTGAACACACAGTGTGTGTGTGTGTGTGTGTGTGTGTGTGTGTGTGTGTGTGTGTGTGTGTGTGTGTGTGTGTGTGTGTGTGTGTGTGTGTGTGTGTGTGTGTGTGTGTGTGTGTGTGTGTGTGTGTGTGTGGCTGACCTCTGCTGGTTCTACCAGTCTCCCCGGCGGCATGGAGGCGTTGTTCATCCTGGCGATCCACTCCAGCGTTTCCACGGCAGCGCGCGTGTTCCCCGCCGACACGTTGTAACGAGCTGACTCTGGGATGTACTACACACACACACACAGACAATATATACATGTTTTAAATATATGAGAGAGAGACAGAGACAGAGAGACAGAGACAGAGAGAGACCCCTTTCTGTTATGAAACACAACTGGTAATAAAACCTGAATAAAGACAGAACTGCATACAAACACACACACACACAAAATAAATAGTAATACATTTGAAAAAAAGCATAAAAATAAATGGTTTCATAAACAACCATCAAGACAAAATATATGTATATTATATATATATATATATATATATATATATATATATATATATATATATATATATATATATATATATATATATTAGAGATGGGCATAGATTAATTTCTTTAATCTAGATTAATCTAATTGTAATCTTGAAATTAATCTAGGTTAATCTAGATTAAAGTGGCTCATTAGAATGCTGTCGCAGGCATGCATAATATGTGTGTGCTACCTAAATAATGACTGAGAATCGGTCTGCGCAATTGTTGAGCCGGGGGGGGGGGGGGGGGGGCGACCGGAGGGGTACGGGGGGGAGGGGGGGGGGGGGGGGGGGACAATAGATTAACGGCGTTCATTTTTTTAAGAGTCTCGCGTTATCGCAGCGCGGTAACGCCGATACCGGCCCGTCACTAATATATATACATATATATATATATATATATATATATATATATATATATATATATATTATAATATAGGAATATAGAATATTATATATTATAATGTGTGGTAAGGAACAAAGGAAGCTCTGTGCTGGCCTCACCCTGAACAGGAAGAGGAGTATGATGCTGGGAGCCACAGATATGCGGATCATCCACCTCCACCCGAGGGTGGGGACCACTGTCATCCCCAGGACGATGATCAGCATGGAGCCCAGCATCCAGAAGATCTACACACACACACACACACACACACACACACACACACACACACACACACACACACACACACACACACACACACACACACACACACACACACACACACACACACACACACACACACACACACGATGGGATTAATAAAATACTATCTTATCTATGTT